GGAGTCATTAGCGCCGACGTGAATAACAACCTTACTGTATTCACGCTTATCCTTAGTCAGCAGCTTCAAATAGGATTCAATGTCGCCCGCTCTGGCCCCAGGAAAACATTTGACTATGGCCGCCGGTGTCTCTAGCTTCACGTTTCTGACTATGGAGTCTCCAATTACCAGAGTTGTTTTCTCAGCGGGTGTGTCGCTGAGTGGGGAAAATCGATTTGAAACGTGAACAGGCAGGTGATGCTCCGTGGACATTCGTTTGGAGCTACGACTCTTGCGAACTGTCACCCAGCCACCTGTCTTGAGATCCTGGCTGCTCGGGAAGCTGTGGGGGGCGGCTAGCTTGGGCTAAGCTACGTCTATGAGGCTCCACACCGGCTACATGGGCATAGCTAGCTGGCCTATTCTCCATGGTGTGGAGCCGCGCTTCCAAGTCTGTGAGCATCGCCTCCAATGCTGCTAGCATCTGACATTTATTACAAGTACCATTATCGCTAAAGGAGGCAGAGGAATAACTGAACATGCGACAATCCGAGCAAGAGAAAGGAGGAGAAGTGAGAGAGACTTCTTGGACTGAGCCCAAGATGGCGGCATAAACGATTAGCTCCCGATCATAACTCGATAAAGCTCCCCGAATTCAAACATTCTGAGGGAGAATACATCTGAAAATGAATTGGAAAAGGAGAAAAAAAATCAATAAGACAAAAAACTAGTAGCAACTCTGAACAGAACAATGGTTAGAAATCCTAAGGGAAACCTGCATTATGGAAAAAAAATGACCTATCTCATTAGTGGAGTTGCTAAACACACCTCACTAAAACTAATGCAGCCCCATTATTGGTGAAAGTGTTTTAGAGAGGTGTTGATTCAACTCTGTGGTTATTTTGGAGACTGTCATGTGTTTCTAATATAATCTACCCTTATCATTTATTTATTCTTATTTATTCTCTTCTGCTATAATGCAGCAGTTCAACAATCACAAGAGTATCAGATATTTATAATGTATAAGAGCAGAAATGCTCTAAATATGATGAGAGCATATGACATGGGGAGCGCTTGGTGTTGAAAGGTTAAGTCAGGTTAAGTTCAGGCTTGTGGTATCATCACCGGCACACCTAGTGTTCATTAATTTTTGTTTCCCAACACCTCATGTTTTCACATACACACAGTCAAGTGATTTCACTTATTCTGGCATTTGAAGTTGAGTGAAGCTGTGCTGTAAAGAGGTCACTTACCTCTGTGTACTAACTAGAATAATAAAGGTTTAAGTTCTTCTTCCCTTAAAAAGGTACCCCAGTGAGTCTTCTACTTCAATGAAGCCATTGTTTTGAATGTGATTCACTAACCTAACAATGGTTTCAAGCTATTCCAGTTATATACAAGTGGTGGTAATACGCCATGAACCGCAGCAATGTGCCAGCAAAGGCAGAAAAGAAGAAGACTGCAAACTAGTAAACATGAATGTAAATATGCAAGATTCAAAATACTTTATCAACTCTGTAAATGGTTTATGAGTTAGAAAAGGCATTCAACTTGCTTGTTAGACTTCAAAGATACACACAGTGCATTTTGGAAAGTAACACTGAATGTACGTGTAACTTGTATGTTTACAAGAAAATTCCACAGACCATCTTTTATAGGGGCAACAGGACAGCAAGGGAGTAGTCAGTTAAGCACACTCACAGAGCAGAGATCTAATCATGCAAAGTAAGTGAAAACACTTGTTGCAGTATACCATGAGTGTGTAGGGCTTTGAAAGTAAAAATGAAAGCAATTCAACAGCACCACAAAACCAAAGCCTCTAAAGTCACTCTAAAGTTTCATTAAAAATGATTTTCTCTACTCTCGTTCAACTGACCCACAGTGCATTCAGCCAGTGTCACTGTGGACATGCAGCACATCCAGTGATATGATACAAAACTAAAGTGATAGTGACGAAATAAATAACGGCTATGGGAACATTTTTTTTAACACATCCTGATTCATGGTGTGGGGGTGTTACTTCAGCTACATCATGAAAAAGGATCTGAGAAACAAAAGTGAAAATGCCCCACAGTGACCGTACTTAGGGGTTACTGCAAAGCTAGGTTCTCTGTACAGAGCACTGTTCATTCAATGTGGAAGTGTTTTTTATGAGACCTATTTAATGAGAACACTATTGTTAAACATATCAATTAAAACTGTATGTGGTGTTTTTTGAGGGGTTGAAATAGCATTCAAATGCTCAAATGTCAAAGTCCCTGCACTTACCCATGTGCACATCAGGGGGAGAGGATGATGGTGTTAGCTCTTCATCATGTCCTGGCAGCACCATCTGGTGGTCTGAACAGAGAGAGTCCTGGCTGCAGTAGGAGGAGGTAGCGTTGGAGGTGGAGTACCCCAACGCTGAGTGGGGGAACCTCTGCAGGCTCATGGGGGTGCTGGGTGAGGTAGCCATTGGATACATATCGTCTGTGGGTGGCACAGGGAAGACCACAGGCACTTTGCAGTCTGAATCCCTATTGATGAGCATGACCTGGATGGGAGCTGAGTCACTGCGTAGGTTCACTTGGTACCTCTTCAGACTACTCTGGCCCTAAGAACAGCAACACAGTGATAAGCTTGTCATTAAAACAGCTGCAACCAATCAATTCAATTTATTTTAAGATTATTTTAAAGCATAACTAAAAGAGTGTGAATACTTTCCGTACTGAATGCAACTATGGTGAATTATAGACCTGTGGTTACTATAGCTGTGAACAAAACAAGATTTCATGTGTCCACATCAATAAAGAAAGCTTTCAACAAGAGACCAACCACTTCAGGTACTGGCACCTCCAGTCGTGTCCCAACAGGAGCCACAACAGTGAGAAGAGTGTCTCCACTGAAAGCACTGCAGATGTCTTCATGTGTCACAAATTTATAAGTGGAGAAATGTTAAGGAAACATTAGATTGGTGATTTTGGGGAGGGGGTGAAGACAAACTGGAAAAACAAGACTGAGAGCATTGTACATGTCAGCCTGGATTAGCCTGGCTGTATTTTCACAAGAGACTGACAATAGCAATTGCATTTATAATCATCTCTTCACAGCCTCTCCTCTGTTTGTTAAGTAAACTATGTTAAAAGGATCAAGTAGGTATTGTTTTACTTATTGAAATAAGTAAATGGGGAGCCCAGAAGACTAGAATTACAAACTGTGAAGGGAGACAAAAAGAACCAAGAATACAAAACGCACCAAGTGAAGTTTCAATGGATTCACATAAAACATAAAGCATCAGTAGTAGATGTTTTAAATTTGTAATGTGCTCAGTAAAGCATCAAGTTGCTTTTTAATTATTTTAGAAATTATACAGACAGAATACAGTTTGTGCACTCAATATGCCAGGAAAAACACAAGTGAAGACAGGGATACACAAAAAATTGCCTTAAACTGAATAACAAAAACTGAACAACCTTATTATAAGTAAAAGCCAAACATCTCCATTTAATGCCTGACAGCATGAAAGGATATGTGCTGGTACTGGGGTCCTGGTCAAGGTGCTTGATGTTCTGCTCCAGCCATGCCTTCTGGTTGTCCAGCTCTTTCTCTTGGGCCTCTAGCTCAGAGATCTGTGCCTTTAAAATTTTGACCTGCTCCAGCACCTCCTCAGTTTGGATGCCTGAGTTCATGCCCCTAGATACAAGGAAGATAAAAGACGAGAGAAATATCAGCTATTTGGCAGGTTGACAGCCAATTTAAGTGGTTCTTTTCAAGGGCAAAAAAAAAAATTCAGATTTGACTGCTTAAGTCAGTAAAGGTTTAAATTTCTCACCTTCTGAGCCTAAAGTGACAAATACTTCTCATATACTGCATAGCAAGTGCTCTGAAGATAATCACAATGACAACATTTAAAAGTTCAAAGAAATTGAATGTAATTAAAATTATCAATAACAAACTAAACATTTAACTGATTCTAAAATATGACTATATAAAGAAAACCTGTGCCTCCACAACCTCCACTGGATAATATTCTTGTTTTTCTTCTCGATCAGCCCCACTCCTTCAAGTACATTTGTGATGTCATATATCCTCCTCTTCTGCTTCACTGCCAAGCTGTCTGCAGCCTGTTGATTCAGACAGACATTTCCATAAAGACTCAGACTCACTAAGTTTCGATGACTAAGTGCATCACAGACTCTTTGAGCAGGCATTAGCAGAAAGCCTGAAATTTCTGTGCAAACACTGCATGGGTGAAAAAAAAGAGACTCAAACAAAACCAATAAATGAAGGATTTAGCAAATTAGGCTGCAAAAATAGCAAATCAAACACCTTCCAAAAGAGGACAGTTATGGAGTAACACAGGCGGAGGAGGGAACAGAAAGGATCTATGGAGAGTGCTGGTTTAAGCATGACCAAGTTTTGGCATGCAAGGAGGGAGGGAAAGAAGTTATTTTGTAGAAAAATTAATTCAGGTAAGTCTGAGGAAAATATAGCCACATGTCAAAGCACTCAAGGTAGCTGGGTCGATAGCAGACCTGAAGCAATTAGCTGGTAAACTGAAAAATATTTGACAACATTTGTGATAATTGTTTCTAAGCTAAAATATCAAAAACTCAACTGTTAAAACATGTCAGCTTTTTTATGATGAATATTTCTGCAATTTGGACTTTTGGTCAGCCATTTGGCTTGGGAACATCGTGACTGGCATTTTTCACTAATTTTATAATTTAATAAACTAAATGTTGATTCAAGTAATTTGCGCAATAAACCAATATAAGCACTTTAATTGCTAGTTTAGTCTAGCTGATTAAAAAAAATGGCATAATGGCAATTTTCTCACAAATGTCTCAAGTTATAAATGTTACAAGAAGCATGATGACTTAAAATGAGGGTGCTAGGTTAGTGGACCTCTCAGAGGACCACAAGACAAATCTATGACTTAAAATGAGGGTGCTAGGTTAGTGGACCTCTCAGAGGACCACAAGACAAATCTGACATCTGGACAAGAAAGCAGAAATTTTAGTTTTTTTTTTTTTTTTAAATCTGCTTTTTGTGAGTGTCACAAGCCAAAAATGTTCAGGAGGCATTTTATTATGTAAGCTCCATATATTTTATGTAAATGTTAATCTGAAAAGTGACAATAAAAGTCAATGGAATAGTTAGAAGTACAATGTAAACTTGGTTACCGTTCACCTCTGGGTGTAACTGAACCCACTAACTAGCAGGCCTGGGTAATGGCGGCTAGCTAGTCCACCTGTTAGCAATAAATAAATCAGTGCACCTGACCGGCTCCATCCGACTGACAGCCCTTTGTTCTTGTCTGCTGTCTAAAGGTGGCACTACAAACAACCCGATTAGTATCCCCCAAAACAAAGGCACTAAGCCTGCCATCGCTGTTTCACTGACCACTTTCAAATCAAGGACGCCGTCCTTAGCTTCTCGTAGAAGACTGACAAACTTCATCGTGAGGAGCCCCAAACTTTTCTCTTGGCGACTCGAAGTTGAGCATACAGTCTCCGTCGTTTGAAACTCCATATTTTCACGATAAAAGAAACTTTCTTATTTTTGTACACCACTGCATGTGTTTAACTACAAATAACTAAAATTTCTTCACACATACAACGCCTCTATTACCTCAAAGGGACGACTGCGTTATCTGTTCGGTTTCAAATGAACAGGCGTTACGTTAGGCTACTGTTGCCATGGCAACCCTTATCCCGCTCCTGACCTCCCTGTCAGGAAAGCCCCTCCTGACCCTGAATTTGACTCCGCCCTCCCTTTTTTCAATCCGGCAGGCCACATGAACGGGAAGGTGATCCATCGCACCTAAATCTGAATCAAATTTGAGTTTCGGAAAAAAAAACAAAAACATAATATGTATGATCATTTCTAAAAAATATTATGCATAATAAAATAGTAAAAAGGCAAACATAAAAACGAACACGTAATAAAATAACAATGCTTACTAGTAAGTAAACCTTTGTGAGATGCTTGAACTAAATCATAACTATTATATAGCTTACTACAACAAATGAGATGCAAGTAAAAATAATGACAGGATGTAATATATCAAATCAAGACAGATTATATTAATTTAAATGTTACAACATAAAATTGTGTTCTTATCTTTATTTAATGTAAATTCAATCATAAATGTACTAACAAAGAAAAACTATACATGAGGCTCAATCATACAAATGATTAAATATTAACATACATTAACAAAAATACTGAATGTTTTATTTAAAAATACAACTATTATACAGTTTTTTATATTCCTACAGCTGCAAAATAAGTCACGTGTTAGAAGTCTTTTAGTACACTTGTGAGACGTTTCATTTTCTCTTCCATGTTTCGTTTGTTTGTTTCAGTCTCCTCCAGTAGTTGACGCATCTCCTCCTCCACTTCAAATACCTGAGCATGACAAGCAGAGGCCCAATCAGACAATCTCAGTTTCAAAAAACAAACTTTTAAAAAACAGTTTAACATGTTTTTCATGCTCATTGACACATCAAAAAGAATTTTATGGCTATGAATGCCTTGTTGAGTGCAATGCAGAGGTCAGTTTTACTAATATCGTCAAAAAACCTGCAGATGTCTATCATACAGTATGATTTTCCCTGCTCCCTCTCACTGTTTAATTTTCAGAATTGTTAGTTTAAGTATTTCAAGGTCTGCTGGATAACAATCACCTGCTATGACAAGACTGTATAGTTTTAAGAGACAAAATCCTTCCCGTTATGCATAATGAATAAAAAAAAATCCAACAGTAAAGTACTGTAAGTAACAAAGGCTTTGCATGAAATGTTCATATACCAGTAGTACTGTGACCTGTAACCACTGGTAAACATGTTCAAATCACATTGGCAGGAGTAACAATGTTAATCTGAACAAAACCAGGCATTTCTAGTTATTCTATGTAAAGTTTCTACATTTTACCTTCTGATTGGCCTGTTCTATCTTTTCCTGCTTTTCATTAGCCAGTCGTAGCAGCTCAGTTTGATGGGCAGCCTGGACAGTCTCCAGTTGTCGACGAAAAGCATCATCCGCACAGTGTAACTTCTCTACTGCAGCTCTGCATGGAAAGCAGCCACAAATAAAACACGTTACCTAAGGTGAGATACTTGGTGAACGCTGTCATAACTGCCTTGGGTTTAGGCCAGATGGATCCAAAAATAAAGCACTGACAACAACCTAAGCTGATATTTTATGTTCTTGTCTCCAGGGCAACATTGCTAATCCACCGTAATCATGATTTGACCATAGACTTTGTATGTGATATTTTATACAATTACAAGTCTCCAGAGTTCTCTAGCTTTTAGGTGTGGGAGAGAGATGGAAGAGATACAACAGTCTTTACTGGCTGAAATGTTCAGTGACAGATGCTGTATTTGGTCTTTTATCCTTAAGAGGAAAAGATTTTTATCAGCTTTCTTTTCGTCCCTCTCTTACAGGATTTACGAAAGCTGTAGGAATGTCCTAACCTGTTCACTGCAGGTGGACAGTGACAGGACCAGTCTTTATGCACAATCCAACAGACATGCAAATACAGAATAAAGATCATTTGATTTAAAGAAACAATTTTTATTTCAATCAAACTTCTTCTGATCGATTTTCAGAATAATTGATGTATCTACAAAACCATGCCTGCTTCATACAAACTAGTTAATTTAACCGCATTAATTAATAATTAAATTTGATAGTGACTGAATTTATTGCATCTCAAATTGCCAAATTCTTTTTAAACAATCTATAACCAGTACAAAAAAGATGGCATATATTTTGGTTATGCAAACATGAGACTTGATCTTATGGCCAAATACTGTGCATAGTACACAAATGTGCCTGGACCATGACAGTGGATCAACTGCTCTACAAAAGCAATGCTTAAATTAATACATGCAGCCCCACAACAGCAGCTGTGAAACCTTTAAGAGAGATTTGCTCTGCTCTGATTTTGTAGCGTACTTGTGTGCCTCTGTTGCTTTATCTCTTTCCTCCAGCAACAGGCGTTCCTTGGAATCAAAGTTCTCCTTCATGCGTTTCACCTGGCTCTCCAGCCGAGTGAGCAGGTCTGCCTTCTCCTGCCACTTCTTACTGGAATCGCTAAAAAAGGAGAGACATAAAAATGGCAACAAACATTGTTTGAGAAAATAAAACATAAATAATGTTTGACCACCACAGAAAGCAGTCTTAGGCTATAATGGGGATTTGGGACAGGTTAGCACCTAAAATAAAAATAGTACTAAAATATTAAATTTTACTATTATGTAGTATTTGCAAATTACTTTTTAAAAATTATGATACACTGATTACAGTGCACTTTAAACCTTTTCTCCTTGTCTCATGTCATATTACACACATACCACACATGACAATGGATCAGAAGTGTGTTATTGTGTTTGTGTGCGCTTCTAATGGGCCACTTGCCTGTAGACTCTTTTGACATCCTCTAACTCTGCCTCTTTGTCCTCCAGCTGCTGTTTCAGCTCCTCCTTGCGCAGGCTCAGATGCTCCAGCTGCTCCCTCAGCTCAACCTGCCGGGCTGTTTCCTCCACCTGCTGCTGCTGGAGCTTCTTCTGAGCCTGGGCTGCCTCCTCACGCACCCTACGGATTTGATCATCACGCTCCTGCAAGGCCTAGGCAGCAGGAAGGTTGGGGAAGAAAAGAAATTACCTCAGTGTGTGTCAAGATAAAAACAGGATAACACAAATAGATAGCTACATACACACATAGACATACACCAACTTGCATACGATGTTCATAGTATAAGGCACAACCATTACAATTTGAACAAGTAGTAGATTCTGACAGGATGGTGTTTTTTTAAATTTATTTATTTATTTTTGCAGTATTACCTCTTTGAGTTTGCGGATGGTCTCTGTCTGGTCATCAATTATTTTGGCTTTGATTTTAAGGGCATCATTGTCCCGCTCATTCTGTTTCTTCTGTGTCTCCAGTTCAGTACTCAGCACCTCTATCCTGGCCTCCAGGCGTCCACGATCCTGGGCTAGAGACACTCCTAGAAAAAAAAATATACAGAGTACTGTATATCAGATTATGTCTTTTAAGACTGCACACATGAAACTGTACAACTTTTATTCCTTTATTTTTATTCTTTTGTCCAAAGTATAATAATTTATTGTATTTTCCTTTTGTGTCATTTAAATGCTGATATTAAATACTAGTTACCACAAATGTAAATTTGCCCAGCTTTTTTCTTGTTGTGTAAGGGTATGCGACTCCCAAACAAACCACTAGATGGCAGGCAAATGAAACAGAACCTCAGAACATACAACATTAGGCCAAACAACTAGTGCCTCTAAATTCAACCTCCAAATGTTGAGTCACTTGCAGACCAATGGATTATAGTGGAAGACAAACTCGACAAAAGACCTGCACCAGTTTGCACTGATGACTGCCACACACTATAAAGATCTCTCAGTGGACAACAAGTTCCATCCTGGACATCTCTCACCTTGCTGTGCAAGCTCCTGGCCCCAGATCCTCCTCTCTGCCCTGAGGCCGTCTATCACTGACTCCTGAGCTGTGAGCTGAGACAACAGACGCGCCTTGTCTTTCTTAAGCATCTCAAGCTGCAAGCTGAGACGCCGGTCCTGCTCCACCTCTGTTTCTAAGGAATGCAGACGGCTCTGGCAGGGGGACAGAGAGACGGTATTAATGATTAATGGCCATCTGTCATGGCTGGCAAATTGAAAGGCCGCTGGGCCAGAAATAGTCAGTCTCCTACAGGCTAAGGCCGACAGTTTTTGAAAAGGTAATGACTTGTCATTTCCACTCCATCTTATATCTATAGTGATTTTTCAAACCCAATCTGACAGTTTGCTCTTAATTTACTTGGAGTGCTTGGGAAAAAAAAAAAATCATACAGATGTTGCTATACCTTTAGATCAGTGACAGCTTCTCTCTTGGCTTTGATAAGTTCAGAGATGCGGTTCTTCTGCTCTTTGACCATGGCTGTTAGCTCCTGCACCAGAGAGCCCGATTTCTTCTCCCTCTGCTGGGACTGGGCAAGGGTTGCCTTGAGCTCCATCAGCTCTGCAGTCATGTGATCACACGCCTCCTTCACCTACAGAAGGGTAGTGAGGATGTGTAACTGAATGCGAATGAGACATCTAGGAGTTAAACAGACTGAAGAACTGTGGTTCAAGCATTACCCGACATGACAGTTTTATCAATCCATTTCACTTTTGAGGTCTGACAGAAAAGGTTTCAGAGTTAGGGATTTACAGAAATAACTTTTTAAAGGTTTACTTAAGTGAAGGTTTGGCTGGCAATCTGTATCTTATTCACACTTTTCTCAAAGCTCAAAAGGTTGGAAACTTAAAGTAGAAAATTGTACAGGCAGTAGCAATCAAGAGTAAGATTACATTTTGTGCACAGGCTGAATGAAATCCATAACGAGAAAGTACAGGTGAATTCAAATCCAATCCTTTTTAAAGCTTTCTTCCTGTCGGACTTTTTGTCCAGAGTCAAATGATCCTAATTCAATCTGAGCTTGCAACATCAGGCTGAAAACCCCCCACTAAGGGTATGCAGATTGGGGTCAATTCCAGTTCAATCATGTAACTTTTTACTATACACTGTAATCATTTAGCATCTGGACTGTATAGACAATGTGGATTAAAATTAAGGAGGTGATTACAGGCCATTTGTATGGCTGTTGTCCATCTTTTAGCAGACCTCAGAGAAGCGAGCAGCCTCGATAGTTAGCGCCATGCGGAACTCGTCCTCCAAAGCAGCATACTGCTTCCTGCTGTCTGCCAGTTTCTCCTGCAGCTCTGCTTCCCTCTGAACATGTCTCTGTTCCACTGATGCAACATCTTTTGCCACTGCCTCAAGGAAATCCACCCCACCAGGCTGCAACCGCAACTCCAGCTGTTTTCTGTAAAACAATGCAAAAAAGGGCTGGCCTGTTTAAAAGGCTACTGGCCTTTACACAAATAGGATAGTTTTATGAAGTATGGAAAATAAAAACTTGGTTTGGATATTCATGAGTAACTAACTGTTCAGCAATCACAGGTTAAGTTTAATCAATCTGTATTATCTAAAAGACAAAACCCAGCTAATGTGCTTCTATCAGAATGGCTTTAATTTGGCCAGATTTGACTGACAGTGCTGACAAAACAACAAAGAATCCCAAACATGTCATCAGGTATTGATTCAAATTTGCTGTTGTTGGTGCATAGAAATATGTGTGTATAAAAATCTCTCATGTAAAAGAGGCTTTCAGGTCCTTTAAAACAGAGGCAGAGTAAAAGGAGAAAAAACTAATATAAAAGTCTTCTTCTGGTGATCATCATACTCAAGTTGTACCTGTGCTCTTGTTCCCTGGATGCCAGCAGTTCATGCAGCTGCTGAAGTTTGTCTTTGTGCTGGTGTACTGAGGCTCTCTGGATGTCCAACTCTCTCTTCAGAGCTGCTGCCTTGTTCTCCAGCTCCTGGTACCGCTTCATCTGAGGTCAGGACATGTTTTATATCAGCCTGTCACACTAAATGACCCTCTCTGCCAAATCCTTTTTTCAGCCTACATTTATTCACTCTGCAGTGATCACTGAACGACTAACACTCGTAAAAACAAAAATGATGGGGACATAGGGAGATAAAATGTTCAGTAGTGGGTAATAAGGAATAACAGAAACAGCATGGTATTTTTAAGTTGCATGAGGCTGAAGAAACTTGCTCAAGTTTCAGTGTTTAAAATGGATTAGAATCAACTGACCAATGTACACTGTGTATCAAAAAAGGCAGAAAAGTGTTGTCAAGTATACTAAACCAGCTACTGCACCTCTTCAGCCTGCTGGCAAGCCCTGAGTGCCTCTCCATGGGAAATGCTTTCCTCTAGTCGGTGCAATGCTGTCTTGTGTTGTTCTTCACTGCTGCAGGCCAGCTCCAGCTGCTGAGTTAGAGACTGACACCTCCCCTCCAGCTCCTCAACACGTCTCTGCATTTCAGAGCGCTCCGATCGCTCCTTTAGCAACAATTCTTTCAGTCTGGATGGGAAGAAAAGCATGATGAGGTTGTGCAGCCGCAGGAGCAATACCTCAAATGTCTATTGTGTTTGATTGTACTCTGTGTTTTATCTCCCAGTGTTAAAACTGTGACAGCCAGTAAATTTGAATAAATAGCATAGCAACATCTTATCTTGAGGGAGAGAAAATGAACATACAGTGGCAACAGAAATAGGAAAATTATACAAAAGAGCAGTCTGATGGAAAGAAAAGATGCAAAAAACAAGCTTAGAGACCGACAGTACAGCTAAGCAACAGAAAAACTGTAGGACCACCTCATACACAATGGTTCCCTGTCGAAATATGCCATTTCTCTGTAATCTGTCTCCTTATGAGCAAGGGAGTCAACAGTAAAAGCCATGTTCAGTTTAATTAGAAAGTGACAGATAAGATTAATTCATGTAATACTACTGACATATGCTTGTCAGCAGGCTGTTCATTACAACCATAATGCAAATTCATCTAAGCAGGGTGTGAAACAAACAAGGACAGTGCACAAAATAGTTACACTAGGGTCTATCTGTGCAGTGCAGAGAGAAGTGAAAGATACGACTATTTAATCACAAATAATTATAGCCTCTGGAGATTAAATGTAAGCTATATGAGCAGGATAGGCACATAGGATAATGATCTGTTTTTCTATACTAAATAGCTTTATTAGCACAGACAACTGCAGGCATACTGTGTTTGTAGTAAGAGAGCCAAAATGTGTGCTTGATTTCATAAGAGGCTATGGAACAATGACAGCCAGACATTTTAATGGTGGGATGGATACTCAGTGTTCAAGAATGAGACAGGCAGCAGGCCCTGCTCTCAGGAGAGCCAATACAAAAGATGAAGAGGCTAGAAATGCAAGAGAATCCATTATGCAGTTGACAACTAAAATCCATAGAGACTAGTTTACTTTTCATCATATCTGCTTTTGCACACTGCTGCACTGATTCATGTAGAAGTTTGGAAGTTTGTGTGCACGGTGCCTACATGTGCATCTGTGTTTTCCTCTTACCTGTCTGTGGTATGCAAGGCCATGCTCTGAAGGTCCTTCTCCTCATTGACCTTTGTCTGCAGGCACTTTAGCTCCTCTGTTAGCTTCCTCACAGCTTGCTCGGCCTTCCAGCGTCTTTCCCTTTCCTGATCACGCTCCTCCACAATAGTCTGAGTTGCACACACAAAAGACAATGAGTAAAAACACCACAAATACTAGGGTTGGGAAATGATTTTCAAATATTCAACTAGTAATTGCATTAAAAAAAATAGAATATTTCATGCAACTATGGTTTTGTCTTTAAAAGCAAAGAGCCACAGTTTCCCTTGCTTTTACCAGCACGCTAAATAATGCGATAACAAGGTCTGTATATCATTTTACTATGCAGACTACAGTCATCAAGAAAAACAGCCACTGGATGAACTGGGGGGGGGGTCTGTGATCTTTGAATAATTGTTGAATAGTTCCCAGTGAATATTGAATAGCATGTTAACTTCAAATGCTCATCCCTAACAAATACAAACAACTGGCATTACTCTGGCTTCAAGATGGATTTCTATTGCATCTCAAATCTTTATAACTGCCCTCCAACTATGTTTGGTGACCTCATGGATGAATAGGTTTTTGACATATCATTGAGTTCCTGCAAAGAATACTGATAATATTAACAGCAAACTCCACTCATTTACACATCTAAGTCTCTTTACAGCTGTTCCCTCTGGAGGCTTTTCTATATCCAGAGGGAGCTGCACAAATGATTAACTATGATGATTAATCTGAGTAATTGCTTTAAGAGGCATCATTTGAGGCAACGTTGGTTGAGGATAAATTGAAAATGAAAGGAAAGTTGGAGGAGTTAGACGAAATGAGTTTAACAAACCTCTGTAACCCACTCCTCATATCTATTAGCACAACACACCTGCATCTGTGACAAAAATATCAGTATACAAGTTGCATTGTGGTTATGTAGGTTCTGAAAAAAGAAGAAGAATGTATGGAGTGAAATAGACTCTAGAATTCTGGCTTTGCAACATTAATTTTGATCCTGTTTTTTAACCGTCTTAGGAATGCAACGGTAAATCTGTGGAGTGTGAGCATGAGTGGGATATTCTTATGGCACGGTGAAGACTGGAGTTAAATAGCGTGCTACATATTTACACTATGAATGAGTTTTGTGTTTATATATGTTTCACCCTATGTCTGGTTTTGGGGGGGGATTCTCATTGATGTATGTAAGGGAATAACCTTTTTATATTTATTTCACTCATTCCATAAAATTAAAAGCTGCATTCAGTCTGCAAGTGACCTATCAACCATGTACCCTGTAGGTTGCCTCCTCCCTTGTGGACCTGCTTTTCACATCGTCTGAAGTCTCAGCAGCTCTCAAAGGTCCCTTCCTTGTTGAACCCGCTGTATCTATACACCCTGCACTGCCAGCCTTCCTCCTGGGCCCCATAGTAGATGTTGAAGTCCTCACTTTATGACGTTCCTGATCACTGCACAGAAAACAAATCATAAGTATTAAAAATGTTGTAAAACTGATCATAGCTAAGCCTCAAGTGAATGTCTGGCTCAGTAAGGGCAAAGCAGATGACTTGCTTACTTCTCTAGTTAAGTAAGGTTTGACCCACTTTAAATTGAATTTGGAGCTATTTTTTAAAATCACCTGGCTTTTAATATGGACAGCTGGGAAATGAATTAAGTTGAATTATTGAATCTTAAAAACATGTCATGTTTGATTAATATGGTTGCAGACTTTGTCAGTTATTACAACATAAACACTTGTGTCAGCAAAGTTTGGAAAGTGTATGAAAGTTATCATCATTAATCAAAGGTTCAGTCACTGATTGTGTTACAGTGCCCAATATTTAATAAATAAAATGTCTTTACACAGTTGAGTTTCAAAACATTAACAGCCAGTTGTTGTTTTTTCACTACTAGGTAATAAACCTGACAGCTGAAACATCTTTTTGTGCAGATACATGTCGGTACAGAATCACCTGTCTGATCTCCTGCCCTTAGTCTCCTTGGTGGTCAACCTCTTTGCTATGTTGTTCCGATGTTTGGGGATCCTGGTGTGCCTTCTGTTCTCCTTCCCACTGTCACACTCACTCTCTGACGTGCGGTCTATGTCCCTCTTGGCTTTCTGTACTGTCACCACAGAATGAGTAGAGCTCCTGGATTTGTCACCTGTAGGGGTCTGTGTAAATATTACGGAAATACCAGTAACAAGTGTGGGGATAAACTAAATATAGAATAGAATATATGGGTAGGTACAAATGAAATAACAGATGAATAAGACATATAAAAAATATTTAAACATATTTTTAATAATTAATAAATCAGGGTGTGTTTTAAAGACATAATAAGAAAACAAAGTGGATCACTTAAAAACCTTTTAAGTCTATTACAAATACAAGGTAAATAAATAATATCTGTGTTAAGCAAGCTGGGATACTGCCCTGATGCCAGAGGTACTTAGTCTAGAAATACCAACTTAAGAGGCCCCAAAATGCATTTTTTTTTTCAAACATATGTTCTCTTAAATTTAAAATGCTAAAATACAGCATGTGTTAAATAAGCACCTGCTGAATGAGCTGGGACACCTGATGCTCCAGTTTCCTGATGCGCTGTTCATTAACAGGGTCTGCTGGATCAGCTGCAGTTGAACAAACTGACTGGACATGTGCAGCTGGCTCTGTAACTGCTTCAGAGGCAATCCGCTGGCGAAACTGGGTCAGTACCTCATTGATGCGGGGTGTGTTGAGAGGGCCATCCCCTCTACCCTGAAATACAAACTTAAAATTGTATTATTTCCCACTTAGTCTTATATCAGGCATCCTACTACGGGTGTGTCCAATGCAGCTGATTTTGCTAAAGAGAAACCCAAATGAAACTGCCATCCGTTGCATTAATAAAGTGATCAGATTCACCAACTTCCAATATACTGGTATAAATCCAGTTAATGAAATTACATTCCAGCAATTCAATGACCATGAAGAATCTGTTGTTTCACAACAACTACTTGGGCTATATGTCAACACAGTGGTTCAATTGTCAGCACAGTCACCTCACAGCAAGATGAAAGTAATGAAGTCTTCCAGCCTTTGTACTAGAACAGTACTCTAACACTATGCTTGTCCTGTTAGCACATTCGGAAAGTGCGAGGACAGGCTCTGCAGCAGAAAATCACACTGTTATTCTGCATGTGTTAATGAATTTTCCATATTTCAAATATAGAGGTGTTGAAAACAAGTCAGACAAAGTTGGATTCTGTATTAATTCTTTTATTATGGGTCCCAAATGCCACATCTGCTTATAAAGAGCTTTCCCTTATTTACCTATCTGAGACTTTCTCCTTGCAAAATCTGGATATGTAAATTCTTACACGCAACACTTGCTACTGTGTTTGTCAAGTGTTTCTTGCAAAGACAATAATTTAACTCAGAAGACATTATGGCTTAAAAAAAAGAAATATGGACATTATACTGAAATACTGTCGATAATACGTCAATCAAAACTGAATTAATTAGTAGTATGGAATCAAAAATTACCAATTCAGTGTGACTAGCATCTGAGGAAAGCAGGAGGTCCACATAGTCCTCTAGACCAGGGATATCCAAGGGACTGTCCAGACCTATATGTGACCGGTTACCCAGACGGTCCACGCCATCCAGAACAGAAATCTGTGGCAAAGACTGCATAACAATCTCCCTGTAACCTGCGACACAACAGACAGACACATATTGTACATTAGGAAAACCTGACCAGGCTAGAGTTGCATGACTCCCCAAACACCAATATAGAGCATTGTCACATTAGTGGTATATTATGTATACCACTAATGACTAAAACATCAAGATAGATACAAGTGTATATACACGTATTGACAGCAGGTCAATGCAGGTTGTATAAATGCTTTAATATACCCTGATGGATTTGAACTTGGCTCTCATGGACTGCAGCCAATTAACTATGAACAGGAAGATAGGCATAATGGGTGAACAGCATGACTGCAAAGATTTTTTTACATTAATATAACTACTTTCAATCTACTTATGAACACTGAGCTAAGATGAATAGAGAGATAAAAAGACCACACATTACCCTCAGCAGCTATCATTTTGACATGCTACTGAGTTTCATTGTGCTTTCATTATGACATGGGAGGGTTATGGTTTAGCAAAATGTGACAAGTACCAATTCTTAAAAATTATCATCTGGAGCATGACTCATCAAAATCTACTAGTCATAGTACATAATGTTAATGTCTACTACTATACTTTTTAAATGTCAAAAACGTAAACTCTTTCATACACTCATAGCTGCCAATTTGTTAGGGACACCCAGCTGAAAACAATGCAATCAACACCAGCCCAACAGTAAAGTCTATTTTGATGGTAGTTATGGTATTAAGTGGTTTCAGAATGCTGATTTTGAAAGGCTGTGATTTGTAGAGCTGCTGACATTTATTACATTATACTGAGAAGTGTGTCTAGTCTAAGTGCCTTTGTCTACCTTCATTGATTTAAATATGATGAACAGAATTGTGAAGCCTCCACAATATCCATAAATTTAAATCAATACACTTCTAAAATAAGTTAAAAAAAATTCAACAATATTATCTTTACAAAGATAAGCTTTTGTGGAGGCCTGGTGTATAACATTATATTACATTATTTTCTCCAGAGCAACTTAAAAGCGTATTCAGTTAGATGTCATCATAAATTGGAAACACATCCTTCTCAAACAAACAATTACAAGTGTGTTTCACACTACAAAATATCAGTTTACATGCCCTACCTGGTGACCTACACACAGGGTTGTCTCTGCCATCCTGGCTCAAAGTGACCTCTCTTAAACCTTGTAATCCCAGCAGGCACTGCAGCAGGTGATCAATGCTGTCCAGGTGGTTGCTATGGAGACTGAGGTGCTTCAGCTTGTACTCAGTGCCATGAAGATGCAACAAGCCTAATAACAACATCAGTAATCAATATCGTTGCTGTGTCTGTCAGATGTTAGTGCTTTCATTTGGATGTCCAAAAAAATAAAATAAAAAATACTGACAAGTCAGTATTCAACTCACCAGTGAGGTTATTGATCTGATTGTAGGACAAGTTTAATCTTGTAAGGTTCACAAGGCCATTCAGTCCTGTGGTAGATGGATTGGACATTAACAACAACAACAGCACACAAGGCAGTGACAACAAACACAAAATCCTGTCATGAACAATTATTGCTTAGAGAACTCCCACAAAGCTGAAACATTTACTTAGCAAGTAAAACAGTAACTAAAGACTCACCTTCAACCTTGGTGATTAAGTTGCAGGATAAATTTAAAGTTCTCAGGGAAGTGAGGGAACTTAGACCTTCAATCTTTGAAATAGAATTGGAAGAAAGGTCTAAGTGCCGCAGGTGCCAAGCTGAGGTGAGGCCCTCTATCCTCAGGATGCGATTGCAGTGCAGATTGAGTGATGTTACAGTGGGATGCAGTGGGACATCCAGCAAACTGGACAAAAGGCAACAAGGTAAAACAAGATTCACCATAGAAGAAGCTTAATCAATTAGCATTCAAACATTTGCTCTGCAAAAAAAAATTTTTATTGCTTTACATTTTTCCTCTACTAAACATCATCCTTTTCAGTAGACTGTACTTATCTGTAGTTAGGCTACTTCTCATATTAAGATTTTGCATACAAAACCTACCATGACTTGATAAAATATAATGCACTGCTATAGATTAAACCACTGTATATAAAATAGTTCAGATTAGCTCACCTTTGAAAGGCCACATTACAATCTGTGTACTTTGATGCATCAGTAATAGTGCCATAATACATCTAGCTATTAAATAATAATATAACAATGGCAGAATTCATTTTGGTGCATAGTCACTATCTTTTCTTTTCACATATTAAATGCGTTTTGCGGATAATACTTCTGTAATATTACTTAAGCAACTGATATTTTAAAAGCAAGACGTACTTGTAAAGTACCTGTGGCCTAAGTAGACCCGAAGTGATCAATTCAACGTTTTATACTCGGGGTCTGTCAAGTTTTGAGTAAACGGTCGAACAGAGGTAAAAAAAAAGAGAAATCTCATTCATTAACTTTACCTTGTTATATTCTTATCAATGAGACTCAGCTCCTTGCTTCCCATAACGGTGACTTACAGCAAATCTTATTTGCTTGTTTGTATTGTCCGTGTAAGCTTTAAACATCGCTTAGTAGCTAATTAACAAAACAAAGTAACATTGTCTTATCAAAGATAGTATAATAAACTAAATATGCATAAAACCTGTCAGGCTAGCTAACACAAATCTTTAGCTACGTTACCCAACTGTTAGCAGCCTAGCAAAAGTTGGGTAGCGACCGATCTTAATTAAGGAAACAAACCCATTCCCAGTCGTGTTCAAACTACCGGAACAGCTAACAAATGTATTGATATATTTTCTAACAGCCAAACCAGCATTAAAATTTTTTTTTAAACACTTGTTGTTGATATTGTCAACCTCCGCTGAGTTAAACTCGCCGCTTCTAGCAACAGACTTCCTGTTTGCCTGACAGTAACAGTAACATCCGGGATACAGGAGACTCCATCCAAGGTGTACGTGGGCACAAATAGCAGGAGAAGAATGTGCTATATTTGCCACCTCACAAACATTTTAAAACACTTTTAAACACTATCATGCAAATGAGCTATCATTTGACCCATTTTATCCACTGTATTGTGTGTGAAAGAAATAAATAAGGCAAATTTTATATAAACTTTGATTATGCAAACAAATATGGTGATAATAGAAGGCAATCTTTGCAACACTGGAATAATGAAGGCATTATATATATATATGATTATGCTGTCTGTCCCTAAAAATATAATTCATA